GACGTAGGCTTCGGGGTGGACCTACGCGTCCGGTGCCTAACCTTAGCCTTTGGGCTGTGGCGCAGCAGAGACCGAACGCTGCGTAGTCTGGCAATCGGACGCTGGAGCGAGCACGCGACCGGACACGCAGGGGCCACGTCAGGTCACGGCTAACGTATGCTGGCGTTAGCATTGAGCACACGTAGAGAGAAGCATAGAGCTGACCGGACTCACCGGTGCGTCCGATCACCTAGGACCTGACACGTCCGGTCAAGAAAATTGCGCTCTGGACCCTTACTGGGCTCGACCGGATGCCATGTGTTGGTGAGTCCGGTGACTTTGAGTTGTGCGTCCGGTCTGACTTTGACTGAGCGAGTGAACATTAAGTGACCGTTGGAGATCTGTGGCGCTCATTGAATGGAAGGACACGTGGTCGGCCGAGGGAGATCGGACGCTAGCCGACCGGACGCGTCGGCTAAGGGCGATCAGACGCTAGCCGACCGGACGCTGGGGTGTGTCCGGTCAGCCCGAGAGCTCCCAACGGCTCTCTAAGCTTTGGGGCTCTATAAATAGGAAGGTACCGGCTTAGGGCTCATTCGCTTGGCATTTTGACATACTTGACATCCTTGTGAGCCTGAGCAAACACCTTCCTCTCATCTCCATCATTGATTCATCATCATAGTGAGATTGGGAGTGATTCCAAGTGCATTTGCTTGAGTGATTACATCTAGTGGAACTTGGGGATCGTTGTGGTTGCAGATTTCTTGTTTCTCTTGGTGGTTGCCGCCACCTAGATGGCTTGGAGCAGCGGTGGAGCTTCGGCATATGTTGGTGATTGTTTGTGGCTGGCTCCGGTGATTGTGAGGGGTCCTGCACCTTCCTCGATAAAGAGTCGCAAGGTAGCTCCAGTAAATTGCTCGTGTCATTGAGTTACCTCACTTGTGGGTAGGCTCTTGCGGCATCCATTTGTTGGATGAGGTTTGTGCAACACCTCTTAGCCGCCGAACCACCAAGTGTTGGTCGACACAACGGGGACTAGCGTGTCGGCAAGCACGTGAACCTCGCGAGAAAAATCTTGTGCCTCTTGTGTGATTGGATTTCTCCCGGTGATTGATTGGCTTCATCTTGTGATTGGTTCATTCCTCGACACGGCGGTATAATCACCCTACTCACTCCATTACTTTCTTGCAAACTAGTTGTAGCAAGCTCTTTAGTGTAGCTAGTTTTGAGAGCTTGCTTTGTAGCTTAGTTTCATCTAGTGGAGCTATTTAGTGTAGCCTTGTTGAGAGCTCTTAGTGAGTAGTGACTTAACTCTTGTGTGTGCCTAGTGATCATAGTAACTAGAATTATTGGAATAGGTGGCTTGCAACCCTTATAGAGCTAGAGCAAAATTGTGTTACGTCGTTTGTTGTACTAATCAATTGCTCTAGTGCCTTATAGAGTTTTTAAATAGGCTATTACCCACCTCTAGCCATATTAGGACCTTTCATAGTTTGCATTGAGGGCTTAGGAGTCCAGGACCTTCCATGTATACGTGTATTCCTAACTTTTGTTCAAGCTAACACACTTGTTAGCCCGCGTTGGGGTGGCCTAAGAACCAAACAACTAAAAGTTCAGTATACCATCCAACAACTTCGGTAAAATGACCGATCGAACTAACGACTATATGACTACTTAGACTTCACCTATGTAGATTAATAAGGATGTTAGCCTCAAACAAAAGTAAAAGACTAAAAGGTCATAATGGCTAGAGGGGGGTGAATAACCTATAAAAAATTCTACAACAACACTAAGACAAGTGATTAGTAAATAAGATGGCGAAGAGAATTTTGCGCTAGCACTACACTTGTGTTGCAAGCCACCTACCCAATTCTAATGTCTATGATCTCTAGTATATCACACCAAGGCTAAGTCACTAATTTACACCTAGGTGAGCAAGCTAGCAAGAGAACTACAACTAAGAGCTACACTAACTAGTTACAACTACCACAAGCTCTACACAAGTAAAGACACAATGTAATACAAGAGAGTGGTAGAGAGGTATACCACCGTGGCAAGTGATCAATCAATGAATACCAAGGAGACAATCAAGACACAATGATTTTTCCTTCGAGGTTCACTTGCTTGCCGGCAAGCTAGTCCCTGTTGTGGCGATTCACTCACTTAAAGGTTCACGCGCTAATAGGCATCACACGCCTAACCCGCAACCGGGTGCCACACAACCAACATAAGATGAGGATCCATAAGCCACGTGCAATCCACTAGAGTTGCCTTTGGCGCTCCGCCGGGGAAGGCACAAGAACCCCTCACAATCACAATGATTGGAGCCGGAGACAATCATCTTCCTTCGCTCGACGATCCACCAATCACTGGGCCATCTAGGTGTCGGTAAACACCAAGAGTAACAAGGACTCCACTAGCCCAAATCGCCCAACTAGTGCCACAAGATGCTAGAATACTAAGCAATGCACTAGAGGCTCTCCAATTTCACTCAAGATGATGAAATCAAGTGTGCAAGTGAGTGGAGTGGTGTGCTCAGCTCTCAAAGGGTGTATGCAGCTGTTAGAACTGCCAAGAGAGTGGTCAAGGCCGGCCACTAGCTCTATTTATAGGCCTACAAGCAAATAGAGCCGTTACCCCTTTGGAGCAGCTTTCTACGAGGGCACCAGACACGGCGGTGCCCCACAACGGTCGATTCCAATGGCTAGTTTGACTAGCCGTGGTCACCGGACAGGGTGGCGGTGACCACCCTGCCAGCTGCCCGAAAACCCCCTTCTCTGGAAAAATATGGCGGTGGCACCGCCCTACCAGTGGCGGTGACCAGGCGGTGCGCAATCCTGCCAGTGGCGGTGCACACCGCCCCTTCCGCTGCCAGCCTTAGCTCCAGCTCACTTCGGCCACGTCTAGGTGGGCACCGCCCTAGGGGTGGCAGTGCCACCGGACAGGGTGGCGGTGCCCCCTCCAGAACACCTCCCTCTCGGCCACCACTGCCGGTCACCGCCACAGGGGTGGCGGTGCACCGTCACAAGGGTGGCGGTGCCCTCGGGACAGCAACACAAGCCCGGCTACGCCTCCTTTTCTTCACCTTTTTCATCACCTTTGCAAATGTGCTAACACTCCAAGTGTTTCACCATCACGTGCAAGTGTGTTAGCATTTTCACAAACATTTTTCAAAGGTTAATCACTTCTCACCGAATGTGCACTAGGCCTAAAATGCAATGTAAGTATTCTAACACCTAGTGGCACTAGATGATCGAGTTGTCCGATAAGAGCTCCCCTCTTAATAGTACGACCATCTATCCTAAATGTGACCACACTCGCTAAGTGTCTCGATCACCAAACCAAAAAGCTCCTATTAAGTTTCATCTTTGCCTTGAGCTTTTTGTTTTTCTCTTTCTTCTTTTCCAAGTCCAAGCACTTGATCATCATGATCTTCACCAATCCATCACTTGGAATAGTGCTACCTATCTCATGATCACTTTGATGAACTAGGTTAGCACTTAGGGTTTCATCAATTCACCAAAACCAAACTAGAGCTTTCAAAGACCACGTAGGTAAAAAAAGGAGGCAACTTTTTCGCAACGCAAACTACTTTTGCATGTCATCTCGGTTTTGTCTCTACACAACAGACATTATTGTCATAGCACGCGAATTATTTGGTGTACTAGTGCCTTTTTTCTTGCCATAAGCCTCCACGCACGTATGTGTTGAGTGCCCCAACTTTTTTGTTAGATGAAGTAGCCGACACCTCTGCAAGCTAACCTAACACTCTGCAAAGCCTCCAATCAACTTAACATGGGCCTCGAGAGCAGATGTGGAGTCTGAAACCACTAGCACTAGCCACGATGTCGCGTGGGAGACGACCTTAGTTAATACTAATGATGCAACATTGAGCCAACTCGATCAAAGCATATCCAAAGTCGCTGCAGACCACCTCATGACTTTTACCACAACTCGCTCTAAAATCCCTCGCAGAGCACAACTAGGGCTTAACAAAATCACTAAGGTCCCATTTAGATCCTTGAAATTAAAAAAAACATTTCAATAATTATAATTTAGGCTCATATCAATTAAGTTAACATGATCGCATATGGAACGTACTTGTATGTACTTGTGCGATACACTTCTGCTATAGGTGAATGAGCCAAAGAATGTGGTACAAGTTGCAGAGCCTAAGAGACGATGAAGTGAAAATTTGGGTGTCAAAAGGGCGCTGAAACACTCTATTGCCATGCATATAGCTTATCAAATTTCATACAAAACAATTACGCAATGTCCATCGTACTTGGTAAATATTAGAACCTATTTTTTCTTAAAGGATCTTAATTATAAACCCGATTGCATCTTGCACAAAGGAATAATGAATATTTGTTGTCTTAAAAATAGGTGCTCTCATGGCATTCCTTTCGCTTTGGCAACATACTCAGTTTTTTTTTCTCTCGACTACGCAAGAAAATTGTGTATCATTGTATTAAGCAGATAGAGTTTTGCAAATACAGGAAAACTCCGGCGCTAAGCCGGTACTGGACGCGAATTGGCTACATTTTGAATCGGACAACCAAGACTATCAACAGCGGCTCTACGCCTGCGTCGCCAAGCACTCCAGGTCACGCACCCCGGCCTGGATCCAAATTGAATCTTAACAGTAACACTTACTTTTGTGTTATCTTAAAATGGCTACAAAATTACCGAAAACCATGTTTCCTGAAGCTCCGGTAGCAGACTCATACTAGTAAAATCAGTAAAAGTTTATCTATTTACTGGATACGGTTATCATATCATAAACTAGGACAAGCCCCAGAAACTAGCCATGAATCGGTAACGCTGGTCCCCATCTACAAATGCATGATCTAATCAGGATGAACGAGGTATTTTTTTGTGAGACTTTTAGATAATTTTCTGATAAGTATAGATTGAGAAAAGGGTAAACTATAAATAATTGTATGTTCTCTATCTACTTCTCTCCACTCTCTAAACACACGCCATTCGGTATGTAGCAGGCCCGAACACGCACGCGCCAGCTAACACCGCACACGGCCCAGGGCCCACTTGTTCTTTACCCTCATACCGAATTTTCCCGCGCTCGTTTCTTCTTCAGCAAAAGCTTCAGCGCTGGAGCCTGTCACGCCGGCACTGAGTAAAACCAGTACTCATAACTAAACAATCGACACAAGACAGGGCGAGTTATGGCTCCCCGATTGAACATTAAACATCATCCTCACATTTGATCTAACAGCTTTGCAATATGTTACAGAAAATTATCATCGATTGCAGGAATCACTATTAGTTATCCCCTATGAACAATTTGGATATAGCAACCACAGATGGCCATTGACCTTTGCCATCCAATGACATGTTGAATTTATCTACATCTAATTGTACATGTTTCTTCTTGTATTCTTCACCACTAACTGAGTTCTCCAAAGATTAATTATGGGAGATGGTAGGCAGCACACAAGACGAGACTTGACACTTTGAAAGCAATGCTCAGCTTACGTTTGGTACCACCAGACTTCCCATCTGAAGTATTCTGGGTAATATCTGAAGAAAATGTTGCAACAAAGCAAACAGAATTAAAGGTTAGTCACATGCTGTGATACACGTGCAGCAACCTCAAAGTAAGAGATACTAACCTCCCCACATCTTGCATTGATTTTCAGTGATAAAATGCTGTCAGCCCTGGTCTCCCCAATGCTAACTGCAGCTATCGGGGCATTTGCTTCGTGTGCCAGCCTGAATTCAGATTTATGATCATACAGATATAATTTAATCCAATTTGAGAGATTTTGTCAAGAAAGAAAGAAAAAATCTTAACAAATTTGATGACTACCTCATGATCATGTAGTACAAGAGGGTGTCAAATATTATTATGTAGTATTCTCTAATGATACCTTGCCAGCCGAAAAGCAGACATTGTCATTAGTGCGGAACCAACCACTAGAAGTGCATCGCAGGTTCTTGCAGCCTCCTTAGCGCTTTCAGCTCTCTCTTGAGGAACATTATCACCAAACATCACAACCTTCAAACATCGGAAATAACAAGTTAAAATAGCTTTCGGTTATGATATTCGTAAGGCTTCAGTAAAATCACAAAACCTTGTGAAAGAATGCCAGGAAACGGAATAGCATATTGACACTTCACATTCCACTTCTACAGATTACTAATCATTAAAGAGATCATATAGGATGTATTGTTGCCAATTCAAAACGATAGAAGCCTAAGCCAGGAATTACAACCCCACCCCCCTTGGGTGTGGATTAGCTCAAAAAAAAAAACCCCACTAAACCTAGATAGCTAGATGTGGCTTAGAAATTAATCCTACAAGTACCAAGGTGAAGAGAACCTCACATCAGGCTTTAGCACTCCACCACATTGATGGCAGCTAGGAATATCAAAATCTTGCTCCCAGAACTTCTCATCAATCTCAATATCACCATCAGGCCGCTGCTGCATTCCAAAACTTTTGTCTGAACCTGGTTGCCCTACTTCCAAACTCTCGATAGCTTCAGCCCACTGCAGAAACAACAGTAATCATCAGTCCTCTGGGGTCAAATCTGAAAAAGAGCAAGCATTAATTCACTTTAAGATTTGAGTAGCAAGTGGCATCAATAATCTACAGTAAATGTATTGCTATACTGATAAATATTAGCATCTAATGGAGAAGCTGACTAAATGATCATTACAGATGAACCATGTCTGAATGATTCAAAAAGCAAAGGCAACATATATCAAATTATATGATAAGTCAACAACTTCAAAGGGAAGTGAAAAAATCTCTTTAACTTCTGTGCGTGACAAATATAATTTTCAAAGGGTTCATGTCTAATACATACTATTGACAATTTAATGAGAGAAAAAAAAATACATATCAAATAGACAACAAACCTTTGGGTTTAGGTTCTTCACTTCCTCCTGGAATGATTCTCGGCTGATGAATGTACCACATTCTAAACAAATTACCTCATATACAGTCCCATGCAGCTCAAGTGGATTACTCCCAGCACGATGATGCAACCTAAGTTACATGCGCAACAAGTGACAGTGAAAAATACACTTCTGTTACATATTAACAAACACAGGCCCAGCTCCCTACCTATCCACATTTTGGGTAACCATTGAGTGAACACGACCAATCCTTTCTAGAGATGCAAGAGCATAATGGGCTGCATTTGGTTGTGCTCTCCTAAACCTTCTCCATCCAGCATAGCTCCTAGCCCAGTACCGCCTCCGGGCTCGAATAGAGCGAACAAACTCCTATGTTGTTCAAGTGGTAAGTAACCAAGAACAAAATAATCATGGTATTGATTTGGACAAATGAAGAGTGAATTGGTGATTGCAACTTTGCAAGAATGAATTCATATGAAAGTTGGTCCAACTAAACAGTAATAACAAAAAATGAAGTTGCAAAAATTATAGGGCAAAATTGTTAAAGGGTGCCACAAGTCATAGAACAGCTTAAGTATAAGAGCAAGGCAGAACAATGATGAAGCCTACATAGATCATACATCATGGGCAAGCTATTAAATGGTTTTATATAGGTATGCTTGCTCAGGAATTCAAAATATAAATTTTTTAGCTACGAGTCTTTGCTACAGATAGTTATACAGCTGAACAAAGGTGAAGAGAGCAGAGTTACTTGTTATGCAATATAACTGATCGTTACGCAAGAAATAACCAATGCAAGTAGCCTGTTTTTAGGAGTCCTTCTCACAGATAAAGATAATGGATGCACATAAACACAGAATTCATAATCTTGTTATATTTAGGATGCAAATTTCACAAAAACAGGTCCAATAATTCAGAGAACTTCTTAAAAGATGTCAGTGCCCCCCTTTTAAGAATAGCTCCATAATAAATGAAACAAATCTGTGAAATTTGTATAAAAGAGGGGGGTGTCTAAAAGGTATCACCAAGAGATATCATTGGACAAGCGATGCTGGACACACCTGATGAGTAAGTGGTTTAAAACCCGTACTGTATGCACCATTAGGACTGCCATAAAATAAGAATTCTGCATTTTAGAATATTGACAGATTGTAAGGCTGACAATACAGTTTCATGACAGATACAGCGATGCGCATACCTCCTGTAATCAGGAATCCCAGATTCAGTGCTCATTCCCGCTCCAGTTAGTACCATGAGCCTTTTACTGAAAGAAAAAAGGCAATGAAGTCCATTTCACTTAGAAAAATGACAAGTTCGTTAAAATATAGAGGGTCTCACCTCTTATCAATAAATTTATATAATAGGTCCACATCTTTAGAGCTTGGAGGATCTGAATCAGGAACTACCCGTTTATCTCTCAAAAACTGTATGTAAGTTTCACAGTAGTCCTTAGGTGCAACGGCTGATGAATGGTTATTTCTTGCTTTCAAGGAGCGGAAAGAGTAATTCAAGGAGAGAGGATTTTCCCTTCTGTAAAGAAGCACATTGTTTCCTGATGCTTGGAAGTTGCAGAAATGAGCATATGACCCTAAACAAAACCAATTTCAAGTGTTATTACAAAAGAAAGAATCACTTAACCCTATAAAAAGATTCCTCTCAAGCAACTTACTTCTAGACGCCGCCCGCAGAGCACCAGTTAGGCCTGCAATTATCTGAGTTCCATTACATGTGTAAGTCGGTTGCATAAAAGCCTCAACCTATTCAGTTAAAGAAATTTATACTCATAACCCACAAAGTGTTCTGAGAGAATTCAATTACAACAGTAAGCAATAAAAAAGTCGGGGTTATTTTAGGCTAATCTTTGTTCCACACTACAGTACGGTCTTATTGTCACAGCTGAGCATGTCAGAGTGAAGTTCCACACAGTCTTACTCTTACACTCTTGCATACTTTGACTTTGGATTCTTGTTCCAGTGTCTAATATGATCTCAGCTGTATCTGTTCTTGGAATTTGTAGCGCCAACTGTGTTAGCGGATTAGTCTGCATAGGGCCCGCTTGTAAGCTCGTTTGTAATCGCTGGACGCGGTTGATCATTCTTCCACTTTCATGGTATCAATTACCAGCGAACCTTTCCTGAACTCCTTCGCCACAGCTTCCGCCGCTGCCGCAGCTTCCACAGCAGCCGCACCCATGGCTCCTTCCTCTCATCATTCTGACGACTCCTTCGACTCTGGTCTCAATCCTCCCGATCCCGCGGTTGATCATTCTTCCACTTTCAAACTGGCAACTCATTGAACCAAATGGTTTAAAGCTGCATCTCATAGAAAGGCCATTCGGGACTGTTAAACACTCTCCATTTGGGGATCACGCACTAACCCATGGCAATGCCAGGTTAAAAACCTTGGAGCTATAATCAAGCTAAGAAATTGCAGCTCAGTTTTGATAAAGGACTTCGTCCACCCAAACAGCACGACAGTCGTCTTCCCCATTCCTATCCCCCAAGTCTTGTTAGGCCTCAGCTGAGACTACCTAAATTGCTAGACTCCACGATGCACTGAACAACCATGCCCAAATCTTGGGTATATATATATATATATATATATATATTTTTTACTGACGAGCACCCTCAGACACGAATTATTCACACGCCTTAGAATTTCGATTGAGGCAAACAAGAGTGTGCTTTGAGAAGAGGAGGAAGAAGAAGGGAGGGGGAACGGAGCTGCGCAGCGCAGCGCAGAGGCAGAATGGAGAGGGCGAGTAGTTACCGAAGCCGAAGCGCGGTAGGCGTGCGCGGCAGGGGCAGCCGCCATCGGGCATCGGCGGTCCTCCCCGGCGGGCGGCGGCGCACGTGACGTGGAGGCGCGGTCGCCGCGTGGTCCGGAGGACGCGAGGCTGGCAGGGGCGGCCGTGCGGGTTCGTTTGGTGGGAAGTAAACAAAAGGGAAGTGACGAGACCAACACCAACACCTCCTGTGTCGCCACTCCCGTGCTGCCGTGCCACGTCAGCTCTTACGTGGGCCGCAGACGTGTCCCTCTAACTCGTGCAGTCGTGCTGCATGGTATCGTGTTAGGACGTTGAAAACCTTTTTACTTTGTGTTCCTTGGTGTTTCACCTAAACTACTCCATTCCATTTCTCTGTAATATTCGTAAGGCCATCTCCCGCAAAGCGGTGCCGGGTGCATATCACTGATCTACTCTTTTAACCAAACTGAACCGATTTAATTTAACGGAAAAACTGGTTAACCAAAATTTTCATGATCTCTGATAGCAAATTGAAGAAAGCTGACCTGCTGCTGTGGATTCAAAAGGTCTGGAGACAAGCTGTCTGACTGGAAAGCGTCTCTCATGAACATGGCTGGTCGTATCACTTGGGTTCGTTAGCCGTGCCTATTTGTGTACTGATTGCCATCAACGCTTCCAAATGGTTTATCCGTGCAATTGACAAGATCCGTCGAGCGTTCACATGAAAAGGGCGGCAACAAGCGAACGGTGGGTCCTGCTTGGTCGCATGGGATAAACAGCCTGGCTTGTGCTCGTCGTATACGATCATAAATTTCCAGCCGGAACAGTATTTTTCTCTCACACAAACTAGCCAGCAGTACTTCTTCACGAACCAGCAACGATACGAACCAGCCAACCGAACAGGCTGAAAGTCCAACGTCCACTTGATTTGGGAGGGCCCTACAAGTCCGATGACTATGGTTTGCGAGAACGGATCCAAATCGATCTTGGAAAGGGCTTAACATACATGTTCATCGAAATGCATGTGCGTTGTTGCTCTTGAATCACAGGTGGGTGATGGTAATAACACGCTTTTTTAGTTAGACAGATGGCTCATGGGCTCCTCTGTAGCTGATCTAGCGCCTTTGGTGGTTGCTAACGTGCCTTGAAAAACCCATAAACAATACACAGTAGCGCAGGCCCTGCATGACCAATCCTGACCTGCGGATATCTAAGGAGAACTATCCTTTTCGAGTATTTTCAATTGTGCGATATGTTACTGGATATACATCTTTCCTAGGATGAAGATGTGCATATATGGAGACTAGATGGCTTGGGTAATTTCTGCTCCAAATCTGCTTATCGTGCCTTCTTCAATGGAGCAATCTCTTTTGAGCATTGGCGCCGGCTATGGAAATCCTGGGCTCCATCAAAATGCAAAGTTTTTCTTTGGCTCGACATCCAGAACCGGTGTGGGACAATGGACAGACTTGCGAGGCGAGGCCTTCCGCATCCACCCAAGTGTCCACTATGTGACCAGGAGGAAGAAGACATTGAACATCTGCTCACCACATGTGTGTTCTCTCGGGATTTTTGGTTCCAGGTTCTTGCACCTTTGGGCTTACAATATTGGTTCCAGGTTATCATGACTTGTCTTTCGCAGATAGGTGGAGAAAAGTTGTGAAAAAGGTTCCGAAAGATACAAGAAAAGGTGAACTCAATTATTTTTTGGGGTGCTTGGGTAATTTGGAAACACCGTAATTCATGTGTTTTGACGGGGCACGACCATGCATCAACAATCTCCTTTAGATGTTCAGAGAAGAGCAACACCTCTGGTGTCTTGCTGGAGCTCGAAGTCTGAGAGTGTTGGGTCAAGGTCAGGGAGACGAGATGGGGCTGTCTTAGGGAGACGAGATGGGGTTGTCTTAGTTTGTTTCATCGCTCTTTTGGGTCATGTTCATCTCTCCCGTATTTCTTTAGATAAAACACTTGCAACATTCATATAGAACATTTTTCGGTAAAAAAAAACATTTGTCTGGAACAGATGAAACATTTGGAACATACACTTGAAACATATGTGTATAGCCATTGCAACATGTGCAACATTCCGATCTACTTTTGCAACATCGATATACAATTCTTGCAACATACCTCTGAAACACATGAAACATACTATTGCAACGCATCTGCTTGCTGCTCGGACGAATGGAGACTCGTCGACGCAGAGCTCGATGCCGCGGAGGTTGCCGGTGTGGAGCTTGTCGATGGCACGAACCTCGACAGGGGCAGGGGCAGGGGTAGGTGGATGGAGCACGACTGCGATAGGAGACGCAGGTCCGGGCTGCGGCGCGAGCGGGGGCGATGCGACAGAGGGCGGGGTCCGTCCTGGAACAGAGGTGCGCAGCGCGTTGAGCGAGCAGGCGACGCCGGCGGAGGCGGCGCGGGTGAGGCGCAAATGCCACGCAAAGCGAGCGGACGACTTATACGTCCGGACGGACAACCTATAAGCAACATTGCTGTTTCGTTTTTGTGTTGTGTGCGCTGCTCTTAAATAAATGATGATACAGCTAAATATTCAAAAAGAAAAAAAAATCCATGACTTTTTCCTTCTCTTTCTCTAATATCTTTCTAGCTCTGTTCGCGTGCCCTTAAATCCAGTTTAATCCGCTTATTTTTTTATCTAGAATAATATTTTTTTCTCATAAATTCCTTCAGCATTCCTCCAAACCATCCAGTTTGGTCCAGAATTCAGACAAAGGAACGGTCCCTCCGTCGTATACTCACTTCACGCAACTAGGCCTTCGATTGCTGCTCCTCGACTCAGCCTGCAGGAGCGTAATGAGGCTGAGCTTCACACTGGTGAGGACACGGTCCACAATACCAGCGCGGTCTACCGGGCCACTGATCGAGCGGCAGCTCAGCACGCTACCGCTGAGCCCGCTACTGATGGTCTACCTGCTGCTACTGATGCACATATATAACACACTCTCTTTCTCTCTCTCTTAGCACTGTGCAAGGCCTGCTTGCTCACATTTCTGCTCCGATTCGAAAGCCCACGAATCTTGACCAGGGATGTTTGATTCTGCTACTAAAATTTAGGAGGTGTGTCGGAAGGATATTGCATGAAGTATTCGAATAATAATAAAAAACAAATTATATAATCTGTCAGTACTCCACGAGACGAATTTTTTAAGCCTAAGTAATCCGTCATTAGCACATGTTTACTGTAGCAAAAATTGTCAATTTATGGACTAATTAGGCTTAAAAGATTCGTCTCGCAAATTAGTCACAAACTATACAATTAGTTTCGTAATTAGTCCATATTTAATACTCCATGCATGTGTCAAACATTCGATGGGACAGCGACTAAAATTTAGGAAGGGACAACCAAACACCCTCTAACCCCCTTCACACATGATTTCAAAATCCAACAAAAAAGGAAAAGGTCTGTTGGAAGGGTCCCATGCTCCAATTAATGCTGATCAGTTGCTCCAGATGCCGGGTCCCTCCAATGTCCAGCCCTTTGGGGCCCCAATTCGTGCCCAACACACCACCGACGACATTGCAGCAAGCCACCACCTCGCTCCATAAAACAGCGCCCAACCCTCTAGCTCGCTCCGGCCTCATCCCAACACTACTACGCGTCACCGCTCTACTCCTAGCCACTCCTACAATGGCCAGCCCTCCGAAAGTCCATCCTCCCTATATATGGGCATGCAGCCCGAGCCCGTCGACCCGGCATGAGGCCCATGTTTTTGCCCTGGCCCAAGCACGGCACGGCCCGTCACTGTGCGGGCCCAGGCCGGCACGGCCCGATGTACAGGGCCGTGCCTGGGCCGCACCCCAGTCACGTGGGCTAACATGGCACGGCCCGCAAACTAGTGGAAGGCCCGTTGGAGGCCCGGTGCTTGCATTGGCCTGCTAAAGGAATAAAGGCCCATCCCACTACTTTCCACCTAAACCCTATCCCACTCCCTTTCCCCCACCTGCGCCGCACGCACATCTCGCGAGGGCCGCGACTCCCGCAGTCGCGAGTCGCGACGCCAGGCGCGCCACTCGCCTCCGTGCCCCCAGTGCCGAGCTGCCGACGGTGCCACCTCCTCCTCACGCCCCGGCCGCCTCCTCCTCCTCCTCATCGGGGGGCAAGCTACTGCTGTTGCTGCTCTTCTGAGTCTGCTTGGTTTTGCCGCCCAGCTCCCAAGCGCCGCCGTCCTCCCTCCACGGATCCGGTCTCCGCGGCCCCGCACCACCGGTCGGCGGCGGCCTCCTCCTCCACGCCCCCACGCTGGCTCACCATATGCACCGGCCTTGCAGCATCGAGCGGCGCCCTCCCGGCCTCCCTTTCCCTCTCTGCTCTCTCTCTCTGTCGGCAGTGGGCCACAGCCGCCCCGGCACGAAAAATGGCCCGACAGGCCGTGCCTAGGCCGTCGGCCAGGCATGAAGGCCAACTTGGCACGACCCGTTGGCACGCCGTGCCTTTCCTGGCCCAGCTCGACCGGGCCGGCCCGGCCCGTTGTCCATCTATAATCCTCCCCCCCCTCCGCGGCGCTTTCATTCATGGCCGAGGATTTCCACTCCCAAAGCCCTGCTGCGCCCCCTGCCCGTCGCCCCACGCGCCGTAGAGATGATCCCCGCCGAAGTCGTTCTGAAGCCTCAGCGAGTAAGCATTTGGCGCTAAATCTACGCCAACATGCGGGTGATAGCTCTTGTAGTCACCTCCATCACCCGAATCTACAACGGGCTCTGGCGCCAACTCCCAAGGCGCCACGGACGCCATGAGCCTTCTGTCTTGGAACCGCCGGGGAAGAGGCGGGAGCCTCGGCAGCCCTAAGATGCGTCACCTCGTCCACCTCAGTTCCTCAACGAATGCTCAGGTAATCTTTGTTTCTCAAACTAGAAATGCCAAATTCACTACTAAATCTATGATGAATCGATTCGATGTTGATAAAGCTCACGTTGTTCCAGCTCAAGGCCAATCGGGTGGACTATGGCTTCTTAACAGAAATGATGTAGACCTAGAAGTAGTTTCAGCTAGCCACCACTTCTTTGCTTTGTGTGTTCATAAGCAAAACCTGAAGAAGTTTGTTTTAATTTGTATGTATGGTGATCATCACCAAACCACTAGCATCTGGAACCAGGTTCGATCTTTTGTTGTACAATACCCGAACCTACCTGTTATATGTATGGGTGATCTAAACAATGTTATGAATGCAAATGAAAAGTTAGGTCCCCGACCTACTAACGCTAGAATTATATCTGAGTTCTGCTGTTTGGTTAAAAATTGTGGCCTTTTTTTTTTATCTTGGTTATAATGGGCCTGCATACACTTGGTCTAACAAACGCTATAATGCTAATCCAACTTTTGATCGACTGGACAGATTTCTTGGCAGTGCAGAATGGTGTGCGGAATTTGCTTCAACAAAAGTTTTCCACCTTCCAATGATGCATAGTGATCATGCCCTCCGATTCTTGCAGTTCTTAACTCTTCGTATCAAAAACCTAAAAAAACCCTTTAGATTTGAAAACTGGTGGCTCTTTGAAAATGATTTTCATCAGGTGGCCAACAGAGTTGGGACAACTCCTAGTGTCGCCGTTTTCAGCAAAAAGTAGCATATCTCATCGCAGATCTTAAGACTTGGTGCAAATCTAAGCCTATCAACTTCAGACAATAGAGCAACATCTTCTTAATCTTCAAAATAAACCCCCCTCAGCTCAAAACCAGAGCCTCCAAAAAGATTTAACCTAATTCCTTGATGGAGCAGACCCTTTCGTTTTTGTGTTGTGCGCGCTGCAGCTGCTCTTGAATAAATGATGATACAGCAGTGCTCCAGCTAAAATTTCAAAAAGAAAAAAATCCACGACTTTTTCCTTCTGTTTCTCGAATATCCTTTTGTCATATACTCACTTCACGCAACTAGGCCTTCAAGTGTTCGCTTGTATTCCTGCACTTTTACCTCCAGTTTCAGGACCAAGCTTTTATTTTGATTCTCATGAATAATCCTTTTCTGAGTGCATTTCATGGTAAAATAGAGTTTTGAGGAACTATTAACAGACGAAAGGTTCGATCCAGCGATGCTACAGAGAAGAGGAATATTTATTTGCTGTTATGTTATGAACACACAATTCGGAATGCATCAACACAAAACCCAATTGCAAGCCTAGTGATGCAGAGAGCTTAACGTCCTTTCTGCATTCCTGTTCTTTACCTCATTTTGGTTACCTGAGGTGGCTACATGTTTGTTAGTTTTGTTTGCAAAATCACACATTTCTGCCCAAAGGACAAAAAGTCGGCCCTTGAGATTTGTGATCTTCAACAACGGCCATACATCGGGGCAAGAACCCTGGCCCTGCATACTTCTTCCCCTTCCGGCCTCTTTTACCATCCTGCTTCAAACTAATTTTCGAATACTGCTATTTAAACCAGTCCAGTCTGCTATGAATTCCACAATAGCATTCCCTGTACTGTATGACATCTAAAGTTCCAAAAAGGAATCTGTTTTTGTGGGAAAAAGTTCGAGAGTTGCTCCTTCACACGCTATTTCAATGTTCTCTAGCCCCAGCGCCCATTGTTTATAGTTCAGTAGGCAACTAGAAAACCTATCCTAGGCCAACATGTCTTTTTTGAAGAGTTTGATCATAAGCATCTGAGCTAAAGTCCATTTATGACGGTGGGCAAAGGACAACGATCAACAGAAGAAAACAAGAGAATATATTGTTTTTTATGTGTGTGCTTAGTTAATCTGGTCAACATGAATGCTAAGATTACAATTGCTCTAAAAGAGGATGTAAACTTACAAGATATAATGATATGGACTACAAATATACAGATTGTGGTTATGAAAATGAGGTGCATAATCAACCATCCTCCCATCCCTCCAAAAACAAATGAAATCTGAAGGACAATCTTGACATACCTTTTTTTTTTTTGTATCTTGAAGGATCCTTCTGTCATAATCACTTCGCGCAGCTAAATCATCAAGCTCTGTGGATCTTAGTTAATCCCTACATTCCTGACACCAATTCTGAATGGAGATCTTAATCTCACCAATAATTCTCTGTGAATGTCTACAAAGCAAGTACATAAGAGTATCATTCACAACTGAAAGCTATTCGAATGCTATGGATGAGAGAAATCTCTGTACATTGATAATTGTACCATAAATAATAAAAATACAAGTAGAAAACTATATCGACATTTCTACATTTCAGAGAGGGCGGCAGATGAAGAGGCGCAGCATGCAAATAAATTGCTACCATGAAACAAATGTTAAATTACCTAGGGATGGGATGCATACAAATGCAGTGCTACTGTGAAACGAATACTCTCTTAGCAGAAGCAAGACGTGGCATATCAGAATTACGAAGAAGTTAGAAATCGTCAGAGGGCCTGGGCACCGGCTGCCATCCCGCACAGAGCTGTATTATGTCCTTGAGCGCCGGCGACGCTGGCTCCATGGTCCACTGCTGGTAGTACTCCTCTGGCCTGAAGACAGGTCCAGGGCCACCGATCAGGCAGGGCAGCGCGCCGTTGAGGAAGGCGTCCCCTTCCGAGCTGATCAGCCCTGCCACCACATCCTCTCTGTCGCCGGCCTTCTCCGGCATGTACTTGAACACAGTCGTCTTCTTCGGAGGCCCTCCTCCTGCCTCGTAGATGTTGCACTGCGACACGATCTGGGCCTCGACGCCCGCGCAGACTGCGTAGATGCCCCAGCTGCGCGTGTAGTTGTTGTAGAGGTGGACCTTGCCGAAGCGGAGGCGCGGGTGCCTCTGCCGCGTGCCGTCGAGGAAGCAGTGGTGGATGGTAACCCTGATGCAGCGGTCGCCGACGTGCGTTGGGTCGGCGCCGATCAGCATCGTCTTGTCGTGCCGCATGAAGTGGCATCTGCATGCAGCAATTGGTTGATTGGCTGGTTCATTGTTGAAGGTATACTAGATCGATTGTTACAAATTACTGCATTGCATAGCAGTTTTTGCAGTATATATAAGAACATTTACAAGAGAAGGCGGGAAGGAAAAGAAAAAGACCTTGAGATCGTGATGTCTGTGCTCTGCCGCGTGATGTCGATGAGGCCGTCGTCGTAGTCGGCGAGGGTGCAGCGGTCGATCCAGATGTTGGTGGAGTCGGGCTTGATCTGGATGCCATCCACGTCGTGTCCCCGGCCTCCTTCGAACACCAGGTTGCAGACGATGACGTGGTGGCAGGACTTGAGCTGGAGCCCCTTGCCTGCGAGCACCACGCGCTGCCCGCGGCCGTCGATGGTCTTGTACGAGGACACGCGGAGGTAGGAGCGGAGGTGGATGGTGCCGGACACCTCGAAGACGATCCACAGCGGCTCCTCCGCGCGGCACGCCTCCCTCAGGCTCCCGCGGCCGTCGTCTGCGCCCGCGCCGACGCCGACTCGTCGCTCAGGAATCAATCAATTGTTTGGTTCCACGATTGGAAGCGCTAGCTGGGCGGGATCGTACGTACCTTGGAGCGACGTGACGCGGTAGATGGCACCGTGGAGGCCCCCGATGGCGTGGCGGCCGAAGCCCTCCGCGCGGCCGGCCAGCGCCCGGAGCCTGTGGTCCGCGTCCTGGTACGGCATCGTCTCTCCGCCGCCGTGACGCTCGCCCTGAGAGTGAGGAGGGTGCGGCGGCGGCGGCGGCGGAGGAGAAGGAGGAGGAGTAGGGGGAGGAGGATCCATGTGGTGGCGCCCCGAAACTCGTGAACCCATGGAACACGTGGTACGCCCCAAGCTGCCGGCGGCGGTCGGGACTCGGGACGCCGCCTCCCCTGTCCCCTCTCCTCCCAGCGGCGCTCTACGCGGCCAGATCCGCCGACACGAAGAAAAGTCCGCCGAGGCCCGAGGGTAGCCGTGTGAATTGGTTGGACGCGGGCCCATATACAATTTAATTCCCCCAGGGGGAATAGCCCAGGCCCAATCGTCCAGCCCAAAGGCCCATCCCATGTGCTCATATGACCGCCTCACTCGCTACTCAGTTTCGTTCACAACCTCCTCCACGACCAAACGACCAAACCCTTCTTCCCCCTCCCCAGCTCCGGGCTCCAGCGGCGGCGGCGGCGGCGGCAGCGGCGAAGATGATCATCCCGGTGCGCTGCTTCACCTGCGGCAAGGTAACACGCCCCTCCCGATTCGCCCTACAGTTCGCGCGGCCTGCAGCACTCACCGCGCGTCGTGATTGGCGCACACCACTTGCTAGGCTGCCAGCCGCGTCTCGAGCATGGGGGGGAGGAGACATTGCTGTGATGTTTAGTTGAACTAATTAAGCTGTTTGGTTGTACTGTTGGTAACGCAAACGTAAATGAATTAAAGCTGCGGGCGTTACGGCAAGAGATACCATTTGAACTAATTTCATTTACATTTGCGTTACTGTTGGATGAACCAAACAGCACAAAAGCTGTTTGGTTATACCGTTGGTAACGCAAACGTAAATGAATTAAAGCTGCGGACGTTACAGCAAGAGATACTATTTGAACCAATTTCATTTACATTTGCGTTACTGTTGAACGAACCAAACAGCTGTTTGGTTCTACCGTTGGTAACGCAAACGTAAATGAATTAAAGCTGCGGACGTTATGGCAAGAGATACCATTTGAACTAATTTCATTTACATTTGCGTTGCTGTTGAACGAACCAAACAGCATGTAAGCTGTGTTTGTTTCTCCTATTTCAGGTGATTGGGAACAAGTGGGACCTCTACCTCGACCTCCTCCAGGCCGACTACTCGGAAGGGTAAAATCTCCTGTCTTTTGATCACAGGGCTCTTATATTGTGGTTTTATTGCTGCATCTCGAGCAGTGTTTCTGTTGCATCGTGCTATGGTGTTTTAAGGGGGGATACATTTAAAACAAGAGATTCTTTTGGTGGTGAGGTAAAAATATGTGCTGCTCCTGGACAAATGAACACAACTGCACAAGCCTGAGTTAAACCAAAAGGATAAATTTTCCATGCTTCTTCTCGCTTTAAATTTATTCATTTAGTTCTGTCGAAGCAGCTCTGTCCTAGAATTGTTATGAAACCTGGTATATGAGATCAATTGCACATTCTCCTCACTGTTGTACCTCATATTAACTGCAAAACTTTAGTAATCTTTTATAAAATTTGAACTCTAGGCTGTTAAGAATGCCACTGAATGACTGAAATATGATGTATATCTTGTTACTGACAAAGATAATCAATAGAGTGGATTGGTCCATAATTAATAAATAAGAGCTTGGGTATACTGATTCAGCAGAAGTAGCAGTGTGTCCTAGACTATATGCCTGATAATGATTAACAGTTTACATACCAGAAGAGGTCACTGATCTATAGGTGGATTTCTTTGTACTCCATTAAAAGATCTGTTGCCCCTAAGCCTTATTTGTATGCTAGCAAATTATCATTGTGTGGCGTCCGTACACCTACATGTTATGTTAGTTCAGATTAGCTAAGATGTATATGTCCGTAACTTCAGGGTTTCTCTTTTTGTGCCCTACTAGGATCTCATGCTTAACCTTTTATTATATCTATACATCCTGAATGTTGGTGGTTGAAATTAGTCATTATTAATGCTATTTATGTTTAATAGTACATTTTTTCCACCACTGACAAACTGAATTTCATTACTCATGGCAACGAAATTACAGAAATTTGTGAAACTTAAATTGTTCTTACCCTGAAACCCAACTACTGCCATCCTTACTGAATGCCCAGGGTTCAGATGAGGCGGCAACCACCACATCAAAACACCAAAACAAACCCCAAGTTCAGAAGATATGACCCTACATAAAGGAACAACATGTTTAATAGTACATGGAAACCACAATTGATTGTGAGCCCAAGAAACTAAATCTGTTAAACAGTGGACACCTGTCACGGGCGCAGTTGGCTAGGCCATATGGGCTGTTTCAGTTAGTATGAGAGGTTCATTAGGGTTGCGGTTAGAGATAAGATTAGCCATCTTGCTTAGGAGCATGGTTTTTAAGGCGTCGCATAGGCGAGCGACAAGGCACTCGCAGGGAGTAAGGCGTCCCCGACGCCTAACCAAAAGCAGAGGAAAACGATAGGGAGAGGCCATGCAGCTACCTCATCGCTCATCCCCACCAAATTCGGTGCTGCCTGGGTCATCTGCGGAGGAGGCTGCGGTTGATCAAGATGGGGATCTGAGGGAGCAGCAGCAAGAGGTAGGGAAAGTGTGGAGGGCAGGCTGAGCGCACGCAGCTAAGAGCAGCGTGAGGGAGGGAGGGCGGCGCTGTACCTGCGTGAGCCATGAGGGAGGAGATGCGGCGGCGCTGCGCTTGAGTGAAGGAGGGAGATGCGGCGGCGTTGCATCTGCGTGCGTGGAGCAGGGAGATGTGGCAGCGCTGTGCCTGCGTGAAGGAGGGATGCGTGCAGCGGCGGCGCCGGCGCCTGCGTGAGAGATGACCTGAGAAGGGATAAGGACGCACTTGTGGGCTGCCTATTGGGCTGGGCCAAGCACTTCTCTTTACATTTGCCCTTTTCTGGTTTTTATTTTTCCTTTTTTTTTTCTCTTTTTTTTTTGCCTATTCCCTACTGCTATTTTCCTATTTCTTAGAATGGTAAGGCGTCGCCTCGCCTCGCCTCGCCTTATGGTCGCCTAGGCGTCGCCTAGTCGACTCGAATGAGTGGCTCACCATGCTCACCTTGCCGCCTTAAAAACCATGCTTAGGAGTCAAGTAAGCCTCTAGCTATATATGGAGAGGTGACGTATCAATCAAATCAAGCAAGAAGAAATAGCTATATAAGGAGATGTGATGTACCAATCAAATCAAGCAAGAAGAAATAAATCTATTATCCCAGTACCCTTCTCCTATCCCTACCCTTGTGGTCGGCTGTCTAATATTGGGCTTCTTGGGTTAGGGCCATTCAGATGAAGATTCATAAGAACACCTTACCATGTGGGAATGCACCTCCATGTCTGCAATTCTGCATGTATGTTTTTTGTGATTTTTTTCCTCCCACATGCTGGGGTGCTACGTATCATTATGTTAAGAACTAACCTTATTCTGACGTGAGGGCAGATAAGATGGTATAATCCTTTTGAGCCCTGGTCATACTCCAAAACTGCATCTCCTCGCTAACCAGCGATACCACTCCTGCTAGGTTAGGAGAGAGACCCTAAAACACACACCAGCTGCGGCGGTTCCAAATGGACCATGCTCCTAAGATGATGATGGAGTTGAGCCCCTTCCTGACTTGTCCATCTACTCTCTCGTTTGCACTATAGGCCACCAATCATCAAAGGAAAACTCATTTGTCAACAATAATCTAAATATACTATAGTGTATTATGATTTTGTGCTATGCATCGCAGTTGGTAAAGATTTTGACCTACTCAGTTCCCTGAGCATATATGGGCTCCATGTCCTTGTTACTGATCGATTTGTATTTTCTGTCAAGTATCGTTAAAAATTGTCTCTTGTCTGTATCCACAAATCCCATTCTTTGAAATGCTATGACATAAACCGATAGCATTCATGATATTACTTTCTATGCTTTCTGTTGCCAGGGATGCTCTGGATGCTTTGGAATTGTTCCGCTACTGCTGCAGGCGAATGCTCATGACCCATGTTGACCTCATCGAGAAGTTGCTCAACTACAACAGTAAGTTGAATTTTGAGCTTCTATTCAAGTTGCGGTTTTCATTTAGGCTGCACCATTTATAGATGTATCAATCTTTGTTTTCAGCCCTGGAGAAGACCGAGACAAGTTAAGTGAGCACGTCATGCTCCAAAAGCACTACTGTTTCGTAGTATCATAGAGTGTAGGTGGTATGTTGTTTCTTCTCTGCCAGGAGAGATCTGTTGTCAGTGTGAACTTGCTTTTGCTCATGAGCATTCAAGGACTTTTCATGTGACAGTGCATGTTGCATCGATGCCACGACGTTGGATATTTTAAGTGATATAACTGTTAACTGAAAACTAATGTAGTTGTGTGAATTGGATTCGATAATGTTTTGTTGACAGATGCATGTCTTTGGTTGGACTACATTTAGTGAATGCATGCTTATACACATCTTATTATTATTGTATTCTACTGTATAACTCTAATAGACATTTCTGGTCCATAGGAGCTATTGCTGTTTCTATATCCAGAGTATTAATATTATTCAGCCACAAGCAGCCATTCTGGTAGAGATTCTGATGATGTTAGAGAACACTTACCTTAAGAGCTTTCAGTATGCAAAAGGTGGTGTCTTCTCTTCGTTCCTGTTTTGGGTGCCGTGATCTGATCCCCAGCCGTGCTTGCATGATTGTATCCGCATTGTGCTGCGTGGTTTTCACCGTTGCCTCTATCTCTGATATGGCTGTGAAAATCATTTTCGCTGCTAGTTTTGATCTGAATCATTGGTGATATAGTGTTACCGTCGGTTTTAATAATACTGATGATGAAAATATCGTTGGCAAAACCATTTATGTAAGTAGTGAATGAACTCATTTCGCTCCGTGCACGAACATTCTTTTGGAAACCACGTCTTTCAATTAATAATTAGAGTTAAGTGCATTGGTGATCATTTACTTACGTTGGTGTGTCATATAGGTCTATCACTTTAAAAGTGTATTTTTGCATCTCCAAACTATTTAAGTTGTGCATCGGCTTGTCTTTTTAGCCGTACTTTTTCAACAAAGGAACAGTGTTTTCTCTCACAACAAATTACCAACAGTATTTTTTCCGCTTGTCTTTTCAGCAAAGCGAACAGGGCCCCATGTCCCTCCACATCAACTGTTTGCGCTGATTGGGCTCTACAGGCGACTTCTTACTAGAGCATTTCGTCCAACAGGACATGGGCGTGCTCTTGCTTGTAGCGCTTAAAGATGTCCATGCAGCCCTAGGCACGACGACACGGTACGAAGCCCGTCTTTTTAGCCCGACACGAGCACGGCCTGGTCCGAGGGAGCAGGTCGTGCCTGGGCCGCTGCTCAGGCCTGTGGGCTGGCACAGCACGGCCCTCCCTGCGTCGGTCGGCCCGGCAGCGGCCCGGCCTCCCCCCTCCCCCTCCTCACTCCTCCCCTCCCCGCGGCCCAGCGCGGCCGACCCACCGTCCCCGCCTCCCCCACCTCCTCATATATAAAGCCGCACGCCCAGCGCAGCCGCGGCTCTCCCCCGCGCAGCCCCACGCTCCGTCGCTCCCACCCCCGAACCCTAACTCCCTTCCCCTCCCCCTCCCCGTCGCCCCGCGCAGTCCCCTCCCCCGCGCCGCAAGCCCGCAACCGCACTCGCGGAGTCGCGGCCTCCCCGTGACACGCCCCCTCACTCGCTCGTCTTCTTCCCGCGATGCGCCCTTCACTCGCTCGTAGCCTCATCTTCCTCCCGCGACGCGGCGTGGACGGCCTCTCCCTCCCTCATGGCCTCCCGATAGCGGCAGTGACGCAGTGTCGAGCTCGGCAACAACAGCAGCGTCGAGCGGGCGGCCTCCTCCATCCTCCGTTGGAGCACGCGGCCTATCTGAGGACCTCGTCCTCCGTCCTCTCTCCCTTCCCCTGCTGATGCAGGCCTCGGGCTGGACTAGCCTGTTAAAAAGGCCGTGCTTTTCGGACCGGCTCAGCACGGAAAGTGGCTCGACGAGTCGTGCCTGGGCCGTCGGCTAGGCACGGTGGACTGGGCGGCACGGCCCGGCGGCCCGTCGTGCTCTACCGTGCCGCGCCTGGCACGGGCCCGTGCTGGGCCGGGCCGGGCAGCCCGAATGGTCATCTTTAGCAGCACTCGTCTCGGTTCGCTGTCCTCGCTCGTGCTACAGGCCCGCACCGCCACCTACACGCCCACCCTGCTGGTAGTCGTCCATACATGCTTCAAGATTCGGATCGTACTTTAATTAACCAGCGACTAAACCAGTCATTAGGTGCGCGTGGAATATGATGTGTACAGTGTACGTGTTAAGCCGTACTGACTGTTGAAGACCGGGTACGCATAGCAGTTCCATGCGGCACTGTTCTCTCCCTGTTCTTATGGCCTTTTGACACGACTTATGTCGGCTTCGGCTTCATCTATTTTACGCAAATCGAGGCACTGTAGCGTAAAGCCGTTTTGTAAGCCAGGGTTAAAATGAACTAGAAGCCGGAAAAAAGTCAGTTTTTCTGGCTTAACCGGCTTTGGCTTTACCAGTGAAACCGTTTTGGATGAGTCGTGCCAAAGGAGCTTTAGTCGTTCCGTCAAATCAGCTACACTGTTTACGCGCAGGAGAGTTTTCTGCCATCCCTTGTTCCCCCATCTATTGATTCTTCAATGCTGTTCTTGCTGCCGTGTGGAGCGTTGAGCTTCCTGGAGCCGAGCCAAGCATAGTGTTTCGTTCTTCTGCCTTAGTGGAGCCCGACGGCGCTGGCGAGGAAGCTTGCGGGCCGTGGCGGCTGGCGGCTGGCGACGACGGTGACGCAGGTGGAGGACACGAAGCTGGTGCTGGCGGTGGCGATGGTGCCCATCTGGGCGTGCACGCTGCCCTTCGGCATGGCGGTGGCGCAGGTGTCCACCTTCTTCATCAAGCAGGGCAGCGTGATGGCGGCGCCTGGGCCCGCACTTCGAGCTCCCGCTGGTGTCCATCTTCGCGCTGTCGGCGCTCACCATGATCGCCGCGGTGGCGGTCCACGAGAAGCGCTGGTGCCGTACCTACGGCGCGCCACGGGAGAGGGGAGCGCGGGATCAGCATCCTGACTCGCCTGGGCATCGGCATGGCGTTCGCGATCGTGGCGCTGGGCGTGGCGGAGGCGGCTGTCCGCCGCGCGGTCGGCGGCGCCGGCATCGGTGCTGTGGCCTGTGGCTAGTGCCGCAGTTTGCGCTGATGGGCGTAGGCGACGGGTTCGCGCTGGTGGACCTGCAGGAGTACTACTACGAGCAGGTCCCCGACGGCATGCGCAGCGTGGGCCTCTACCTCAGCGTCATCGGCGCCGGGAGCTTCTTGAGCAGACTGGTGATCACGGCGGCGGACCGCGCCAGCTGGTTCGCCAAGGACCTCAACCGCAGCAGGCTGGACCTCTTTCTACTGGCTGCTGGGCCCTGGCGTGCATCGGCGCCGTCAACCTGGCCTTCTACGCGCTGTTCGCCGCCGGCCAAATGCTCCTACAAGCATATCGTCGCCGCGTATGTATGTGGTCATGGAACACCATGCATCATACATGCCGGAGCCCCTAGCAGCTGCAGGATCATGGTGTTATTGTTAGCGGTTACTGTTAGGTAAGAAAGTGCTAATTTGGTAAGAAGTGTATGATAAATGATAATGCCGACTATTGTTAAAAAAAATGATAATACGACTAGCTTGTCGTCGTCGATCGTACGTGTTGTTGCTGTTGCGACGTTAGAGCATCTCTAGGAGTGTTCCATATCTGTTTCCTATCCATGGTTTTTCAGGGGAAAACAGAGATAAACTTATCTCCTGGAGCACCTCATATCCTCTGCCCATCTTTTGGCCGTCGGTAAACCGGCCTCCTTCACGCGTAGTCGCGCGCATCTCCTCCTTCCAGCGACTCTTCCCCTCGCGTGTCTCCTTCGCGCCACAGCCGCTCCGTCCAGGTTCGACCATCTTCGTCGCCGCCGACCTAGTTTTCCCAGTCGCTAGGGTTTTTGGGTGCTGGTAGCCTCGCGGAGAAGAGTCCGCGCCAGGAACGACGGCCACCGCCCTGACTGGCCCAGCCGGATGGTCCTCCCGGCGCGGCTGCTGCCTTCGCCGCCGTTGCCGGCCCCGGTTCTGGCGCTGACGCCATGGAGGTCCCGGAGCATGTGGTCGGGCAGACGCAGCGTGAACCTCTCGATGACAACCGCGGCCGCAGCCGGAGGCGCGGACGTGGGCGACGGCAACTCCTGCGTGGGAGCCTTCCTTAGGGCAGTTCATCCAGTCGCCAAGGGGGAGAAATACTGCGGAGAGATCAAGCTTGCACTCACCTTCACTCGAGCAGCGGCATATCTCTAAATAAATGTGCCTTGCAACATCCTTGCGGGCTAGGGATGAAAACGGTCGGAAAACCTCTCAACTGTTTTCTACTTCTACATTTGAATACAAAAACGAAAACGAAAACGAAAGCGGTAAAGCCGGACACGAAAATGAACACGAACTTACGGAATATCAAAAATTTCGAAAACGAACTAATTCGAGCGGAATTATGTAGAACACGGTCGGTATACGAAAAATCAATACGAAATATTGACCCATAGAACCAAGTGTATAACAATTAACAAGTACATAATAATTAACAAGTCCTACAACTTTCTTAAAAAGTATCTCCATTCGACACGATGTAAGGAAGATATGATTTTTTAAGGCACCAAGCGCTTATACGAGATTAATATATCGCTGACTTTGTTTAATTTTTTTGAACATCTTCAAGACATCAAATGAAAAATCTAAGAACTAGAAAGTTGTAGATCTCGTCGAGAGCTACAATTTTCATATAAAATCATCTTCATCCAAGATCGTATGAAAAATATATAATTTTTCTAAGGTTGGACTTGTAGTGGGCTAAATTTGGTTTAAACCGAATTTCGAATTCAGAATATTCCGAATTAAAAGTAGAAAAGTAGAAAACGGTCAAAAAAAAATGTCTAAACCGTTTTCGTTCCGATTTCGAATTTAGTGTTCCGAATTTCGAACCGAATTCAAATTTGTCCGAAAATACGAATTCGATCGAATTAAATGTAGAAAACGATGCCGTTCGGTACGGGATATTTCCGTACCGTTTTCATCCTTATCGCAGGCTGCTATCGGGCTCGCGCCCACGGTCGTGGCTCA